TGACTGCATGCCTGCACACAGCTCATTTCGCTTCCTGATCAAACATGACCTCACAGTCCGGTTGAGTCACCCACACTGTACTGGGAGGTTTAGCCTGATCTTAATAACAAAAGCACCACCCATCAAGATCTTGTCTTTTATTTCTCCTCAGACAGCGACTCTGCGCCCCTACCTAAACGCAGTGAGGGCCACCCTGCAGGCGGCCGTCTGCCTGGAGAACTTCTCCTCTCAGGTGGTGGAGCGCCACAACAAGCCGGAGGTGGAGGTCAGGTAGGTTTGATGGCATGTCTTTGGTGATTTCAGTCCTACTGCTTATCCCCCTGCATAGCAGTTTCTTAGCCCTTAGGCTGTTTTGCAGATCTTCTACAGCTGTCAAACAAGTATGGACTTGTGCAAACTTGCATAAAAACATCTAGGAAGGGGGAAAAATGACACAAGCATGGGCAAGGCTGTAAAATTGGCCAGCGGGGACTTGCTCTGCTTTGTTTGCAGATGTCTTCCAAATGCAATGCAATGTAAAGATTAAGACATTTAAAGTCAGTTTTGTGGTTATTTAAAGCGCCATGTAAAGTCCCAAGCACAATGCTGACCCTTAGTGTCTAGAAAACACAACAGTTTATAACTTGGTTTTATGTTTAACAGCTGGATTGTGCTGTGTTTACAGGAGCAGTAAGGAGTTGCTACTTCAGCCTGTGGTGATCAGCCGTAATGACAAGGAGAGGGTTCTCATCGAGGGATCCATCAACTCTGTCAGAGTCAGCATTGCTGTCAAGCAGGTGATTTAATAACAGCAACATTTATACTGTTTTTGTTTAACAGCTGTGCACATTTCCTGATTTGTATTGGACAACTGAACATGCAGTAATAAAAACCTTCTTCCCTGTAGGCTGATGAGATTGAGAAGATCCTTTGCCACAAGTTCATGCGCTTCATGATGATGAGGGCAGAGAACTTCTTCATTCTGAGGAGGAAAGCAGTAGAGGTAATTAAAGACAGCAGTGACAAAAAAGGGATGATTATACAGGAAGATTAAAACAAAAAGAGGAACAATGTGAACCGTTCCAACGTCAAAGGGCGGCTCATGCGCCCATCTCTTAGAATCAATATACCAATTTAAAATGCCTTAATATTTACAATGTGTATTTCCAAATGACATTTGAGGTGTAAAGCAGTTTCTCTCTCTGACTCACTTTCCTCCCTTGCACTGTGATTTCAGGGATATGATATTAGCTTCTTGATTACCAACTTCCACACGGAGCAGATGTACAAACACAAGCTGGTGGACTTTGTCATCCACTTCATGGAGGAGATCGACAAAGAGATCAGCGAGATGAAACTGTCTGTTAACGCCAGGGCTCGTATCGTTGCTGAGGAATTCCTCAAAAACGTAAGAATTTCTCTTGCTAATATTTTTCTTTTTGGATATAACAGAAAGACAAATCATTGTAAATTGTGTACAAATGTTGAGTGATGATAACATTGAGAATGATTTGGCTCCACAGTTCTGATGACAGTGTTGGTCCCACACAAGCCACGAGAACGCACCAAAGGGCCAATCAGCACAGGAGTGGAGTAAACAGCCAATCAGCGAGGAGATGAGAGGAACGTAACCAATCCGGCGATGATGACACCATTTGCACCCGTCTCGAGTATTTCCCTGTACTCATGAATATCAATGACTGTATATAATGAAATATTTACCAGTTTCATTTTACGCCACTTAGAACAAATCCCCAAACAAAGGCGGGTCCTTAAAGTATTAATCCAGTTGATAGTCATGAGGACAGGGGCACTGAGAACGCAGTGTTGCAAATAAAAACGGCCATGTTGTTTTGTATTTTGTGTATGACTCTGCGTGTTCACCGTCACTGTTGTTTCAAATTTGTCTCCAAAATGTTCAGGAAAGAGTGGCGTTTAGTCGCAGACACAGAGAAAGAGCTGTCTGTAGAGAAGCCAACAAAACATGTATGAAAAATAATGAGATAATAAAGCCAGTTGTTTATAACTTTCTGTGTAGCTTGCAGTCTTTCAGCTGTACCTAAAAACAGATGTGTTCTGCTTCTGAGGAAGTTGTTTTTAGTTTGCATCTCGACCACAGCTCAGCCTTACACACAGCCACTGTATTATTTCAGCTGAGGAAGGGGAAGTTATTCAGCAGACTGTGCAAAAGCATTTTTAGCTGTTCAGCAGTTACGTAACCCAAAGGATTTCAATTAAGATTATAGAAGTGGCCGTTTCAAAATGAGAGTAAATAATGTAACTTTTATTTCCTCAGAGGTATTTGATGAACTCGCTATATCTCCACACACCCCTGCTGCACAAGGCGTGTACTGCACTGACCCTAATAACAGATCGTTATTTTATTAAACTCAACCAATGTGAGAATTCAGAGGATGAACTTAATGACATCATTTTTGATTTATGAAAATGGCAAATAGACTTATTTTCGGGAAACCAGTGTTGGGATTAGCGCTCCTTAAAATGTAGGGTAGGTAAGAATGGAGAAACCAGCTCGAGTAAGCTAGAATTTGAAAGTACGCAGCGGAAACAAATCTGCCCCTTCCTTCCGACTTCCTTACAGAGCCCCTCCTCCAACACACATGAACGCGCACATGACCAATGAGGGCACGAGATAATTTTGTGCACAGATGGAAGGCTGACAGGCAGGTAGGCCATCCAGTTATTTTAGCCGGGCCGGAGGCACACATTGGTCTTGCTTTTTACAGCGCTACGGCTTCCACAGATGAAATGTTTTAATGTATTTATTGTCAAAGCATTTCATATATTCATTGCTATCGGGATGTTAAGAGCATTCCATGGACTATAACAAAAAGTGTTTCTGAAGTGAATTACCTACCCCACCTTTAAGTATAAGTACAAATACTACGGTCTTAATTCTGGCACTCCACAACAAGTCCTGACTTCAAAATACTACATAAGTGAAAGTATTAGCATCAAAATGTAATTAAAGTACAACAATTTTACTTAAAAATACTCGTCCAGCACAATGATCTATTTCAGAATAATACAGAAGAAATATCAGCTAAATGCACAACAAATCTTAAGAGGACCTCAATTGTGAATCTGTCTTTATTATTTATTATTGCACACTGAATACTTATATAGACAGTCGGTAGGGCAAATAAAACGTTGTTGCGTAAAGTACAGGCAGATTAATAGCAATTGAAATGATCATCAGTGCAACCATAATAGTTAAACCCATAAAGACAAAGATGAGATATAAAGCTCTGAGCTATCATTTCATTTAAATATAATTAACCCACCTGTATAAAATGTTAAGTTTGCTTTTAACAACAGTGAGAATCACCATTAATTTCTTCACAACATAATCAAAAGCTTTGTATCGATTCTTTAAGGTTTTATACCTTGCACGTTACAACTGAAGACACGTCACATTAAACAAGGATTGCATCATGTGTAGCTGAAAGATCTTTTGATAAAACAACATGATTAATACTTCACCCTTCAGATTGAATTCCACTGCTGCACAATATCACTGAATATAGCAACAAAGAATCTGTGATTGATAAATAACGTAACGAAAATAAAGTGCCAGACTTTGTAGCTTGCAAATAAAAACACTGAGGATCAAACACAAGATATGTTCAGGTTAAGCTCCCTCAAATAAAAAAATAAGGATATAAGGGCTACTGTGTGTGTGTGTGTGTGTGTGTGTGTGTGTGTGTGTGTGTGTGTGTGTGTGTGTGTGTGTGTGTGTGTGTGTGTGTGGCAGTGGGGTTGAAGGAGTAGGCGGCACATCACTGATGGTCATCAATAAGGGCAGGTTTTGAACGATGGAGAAATGAAACGACCACCAGTCCACAGAGAGGCAGGGAGGGGTCTCTCTGTCAGAGGTGAGGGGGGTCTCTCTGTCAGAGGTGAGGGGGTCTCTCTCTCAGAGGTGAGGGGGGACGGTGAGCAGGGCGTCTTGAGTCGAACGATGGATGTTCACATTCTGGAGAGAGAGGAAGGACTCAGTGTTAGATCCCTTTTGGATAAACTGGACTCTGGTTCCCGTCAGAGGGTGAAAAGAGGCAGTAATGAGAAGAATAAAGATCTTTTTGAACAACATGGAAACATGTCCCAGTACAGGCAGAAAAGCATAATAGGGCCCCTTTAACATAAAAGTTACATGGAGTGTCATCATGGATGGTTAACTGTCGTGCCCAGAACGACAGGAGAGGCGGAGGGTCTTTACATAATTGTGCAGGAGCTCATTGTCTCATAATCCATTGCCCATGCATGTCTAACTGCATGACCTGTGGTTTTTGAAATAGAGCTAACTTATTTTTGTGGATGTAGTGTAGCCTGTATTAGCCATATTAGAAAATGAGTTATTAGAAATCTGAATTGGGTCAGTCATGATTTGGCCTCGTTGAAACTGTACTGGATGTTTCCGGTTATTTTATTAAAGTGGAGAGTAGCAGACCTGTTTCATATTTAGCAGATGCTGACATGACATCAAGCATCCCATGGTGGCAGCACTATGTAATTATTATATAAAAATTACACTTTGAATTCTTATTTTTCCTGATGACACACCATGTAAACATACGGGTCTAACGTTTACTTAATTTTTGAATCACTACAAAATCGTCTTTTTTTTCCTAGAACTGATTAACCCTTTAACCAATGTCCCAGTATCACTAGCTTTTAGCATTTTGTTATCACTCTGAATTGAGGCAGAATAAATGTGTGTGTGACACAGTGAGGGTTTTGTTCAGGCTGGTGAATGGCAGCACCCAGTGGAGTCTTTGCATATGAATGAATGGAAATCTGAGTCTTCAGTTTGCAGCGTAAGCAGGAAGGGCTGCACTGAACATCTGAGGAGAGCACCAATAGGAAGGAAGTCCTCAGTCTTTTGATCTCTCGAAGTATGAGTAACAAAACTACCATCTCAGAATTTTAGCGTAAGATTTACCACTTTCAGAAATAATGGAGGGAACACATTTTCTAAAATGAACCACACGAAGAGGGGGTACGAAAACATGAAATTATAGAGGAGTTTATTTAGAAACAAACACAAGTATCTCCTCTCAGGTCTGATCAGAGAGATGAATATACTGTAAGAACCTTCACATACAATAAAACATAAAGTGTGTCTGTACTTCATTAGACAACGTTAGACATCCTAAAGACAAACTGGTAATGAGGCCATTTAACAAAAAGTGCAAAATATTAAAAAAGGCACAAAAATATTTAGCGTTGTGCAATTACTGATTTACCACAGAAAAACATTGCTAAAAGTCAACATTGTAAAAATCTGTTACACAGACTAGATCAATGAGAAATCAAACATCACTAAACACAAAGAGGTGCCGGAGAGTCAAGGCTTCACAGTTGGTAAAACGGCATCAGTTAAAAAAAAACAAAAAAAACCTTCATCTGCTTTCCATTCACTCTCCAAAAATGGGAGAATGGGCTCGAGACAATATCTGTGTCTTACAATTAATGATCAAAATTAGAAACTGGATTCCAGTCAATTACCATCATCATCATCATCATCATCATCATCATCATCTTACAGAGAAGAAACAGGGATTTGATCAGATTGGGTGGAGGAGAAAGCGTTTGTGATTCTGAAGGTGACAGTGTGTGTGTATAGGGGGGGGGGCACTGCCTCATTGGTGAGCTGGCACTGTTAGCAAAGCCTCCTTTGACATCCGCGACACTTCTACGTTCTGTTTGATAAACAACAAAAAACACAAAGGGGGGGGGATCAAAACACATGGGAGAGATCACTGCACAGACCGGGCCGTTCAGTACGGAGGCGTGTTTGTGTTTACCGTTTCCTCTGACAATTTGTTTTGCCGAAAAATACTAACTATCCCACAAAGAGGCTTTAGGTATTGGAAAGTTATCGGAAAATCCCAAACTCCACCTGTAAATGAGTGTATCGATTTTCATCATATAACTTGATCCATTAAAAAAAGTATGTACATTTCAGTTCATAACATTTTCCATTAAAGCCAACATTTGCATTTAGTTGAAATGAGTACTTTCATTGTAGCTTTTTAGCATTAAACCCTGTAAGAAACGGTCACATGACCCACTAGGAGGCATATTCATCTAAAGGGTGGAAGGGGGAACATGTGTATCGGTCTTCAAATGAAAGGTTACGTTGTATTTCTACCTACAATCATTCAAACCCATGTCTAATCTAGAAAACAGCAGACATTTGAGTGTGATGGACATTTACAGGAGCGGTTGCAAAAGCCTAGCAGCCTTTAAACATTAGATTTAAAACAAAAAGAGATTTGCAAAAAAAAAGGAAATGCCATTAAAGAGCTTCTGAGTTTTTATTATGATTATCAAAGAGATGCTAAACCATGGTTACAAAAAGTTACAACAATTTCTGTTCCTGCCAGAGAGGGGAGTTGGTCCCAAAGGTTTGCTTCTGTATTCACACCCTACAACTAGAGGATTCATGGAGTGAAGAGTGTGTAGGGTTTGGTTTTACTGTGTGTACCTGTGTGTGTTTGTGTTGTTACACCCACCTCTGGTCGTTCTCTGTGTGTGTTGACTGATTCCACATTTAAGCAGATGGACTCCACCTTACAGCCTACAAAGGATGCAGATAAAACATTCATCTACTCGGTTCATGCAGCATAAGAGGGCTTTTGTTATCCCTGTTAATCAGAGATACATGTATTGTGTGAATTAGATGCCAACAGGAAAGCGGTCGTACCGTAGGCCACGGGCGTCAGCTTCAGCACGGTGTGCAGCGGGCACTTCAGGTAGGGCAGCTCCTCTGAGGGGGGAGAGACACACGGGTTCAGGACACTACATCTATTCATCGGTCATATTTGTGGTTTTTCTAGCAACGACGAGAGTGGTTAGAGAAAGAGATTACTGGTGTTAACAATAAAGCTTGTTACCGTGTGTGGAATACACATATTTTGACTAGGTGTAACTTATCTGCCTGTTCAACCTCGAGATAATCTCATTATCTGATTTGTAATCTTTACTTAAAGGTAGGGTAGGTAAGAATGGAGAAACCAGCTCGAGTAAGCTAGAATTTGAAAATCTGCCCCTTCCTTCAAACTTCCTTACAGAGCCCCTCCTCCAACACACACGAACGCCACATGACCAATGAGGGCAGAGATAAGTTTGTGCACAGATGGAAGGCTGACAGGCAGGTAGGCCATCCAGTTATTTTAGCCGGGCCGGCTCAGATGATTGGTCGTGCTTTTTACAGCGCTACGGCTTCCACAGATGAAATGTTTTATGTATTTATTTAATGTTTCTGAAGTGGATTACCTACCCCACCTTTAATATTTTTGCAAAATATTCCACCTTCATGTGCATGTGAATTTACCTTTCTTTCAAGTTTCTTTATCTACTTCAACTTTGTGATTTGCTACATTTCAACTTCTGATTAAGTTAACTTAACAGCATATGTGCTTATGTGTTTAGTTTGTTTTGTGTTTGTTTCTTTGAGTGATTTAATCTTAACGACCCCAGGGCTCCTCTGAGGTGTCGTTGAAGCACTGACCTGCCGTCTTGTCCAGGAAGTAGGCCAGCAGGCAGCGCATGACGGCCTGGTGACAGACAACCAGAACGTTCTCCTGCCGCTCCAGCTCCATGATGACCGGCTCCAGCCGCTGCACCAGGTCCTCGTACGACTGAAGCACAAGACACAAAGGAAAATCTGAGCAAAATGTGATATTAGGATGGTAATTATAAGAAGGATAGAAGGCTCTATCCACATTGTTTCTTATGAAAGAGCCCATTAAAACCCATAGAGTTGAATTTAATGATTAAATACAACAGAGAAAGAGCTGTAAATCTGTTCAAACGTAAACAATATTTTTTATTTCCCACATTCTGCTAAATAGTTAATCTAGGTTAAACAGATTAACATTTAAGCGTGTGGAAAAATCCATACAGGCCGTCTAGAGCAGCTCTAGCTCTAACAGGATTCCCCAGAGCATCCCTGCAGCAGCCGCTAATGCCTGCATCCATCTTAATGGGGTTCATTAACGGAGAGGGAATGGTATGGACTCAAGGTGAGAGCAGACCGGCGGGCGTTCAGACACGCAGACAGTAAACGCACATCTCACAGACTAATGTGAAGAGATCTTTGTTTACTGTAATCCAAATCAGTTTAAACGGCTGGAGCCGAGGCTCATTAGCAAAGAGTGAGTGGGCAGTATCTGGAAGCACTTTAATCGTTTTTTGTGTGTACATGTACTTTTCTATGAGGGTGTGTTATTCAAATCACAAAGGAGGGCTGTTTTGAGACATTCCAAATTTCAAACAGTGGCACAGTGTCCACCAGCTACTGCAACGTTTTACAAAAAGTAGGGCTGTAACCAAATAGCTGAAAGCTGAAATCATACCATACTTCAATCATGGATGTCAACACTCTTTCGGTTGCCGTGATTATTATACAAGTATATACTATTTGAAAGATTGTTTAGGATTGTTTCCCACTCATCGCAGGATCGCAAAATAATTCTCAACTCCATAGCCATGTTTAGTACAAAAAAGAAGCACCACTATTTTTCAACTCATCTAGTAATCGATCTACGCCATGGAAACTGATTGTTTAAAAATGTGATATTTTGGGCTCATAAAACAACACAATTAAATACTTTGAGAAACTGCGATGTTACAGACAAATGAGAAATTGAGAAGGTATTTGGCAGATAACTTAAAAACAACATCACAAACTGTTTGCCCTTCATTTTAAAACCTCACCAGAAGCCCTAACACACACAACACACCCCTCCCATCATCAGAGAACACATAACGACACTGAGTTCCCACTGACCTCTCCTTTGGGGTACCGATAGCGGTATTTGTCCTGGTCCCTCAGAGCAAACTCCAGAGGATAGTGATCCTGGATCTCCTCGTACATCATCTCCTCACACACGCCCTACCATGACATCACACACACAGATTACACTTCATTAGCATCGCACACGTCAACAAACAACTGTTCTCAGCGGTCCAGTACAAACCACTCACTGCGTCGATCTCGTTCAGGACCTTCCACTGCTCGTAGGGCACGTTGAGAGCCTCGGCCGTCTGGATGGTCCTCTTCATCTGACTGGTCCACACCTTCAGGTCGCTGATGCCCTGCGTCTCCAGGAACTGGCTCAGCTTCTTCCCAAACTGCAAAACAAAGGTCATATTAAATCATCTAGTTAGGTAAAGCTAAAGAAATATCTCTAATTGAAGAAGTTTGACGTACTGCTTTCCCTCTCGGTGTGATGCCCGAGTCTCCTCCGATTCGCCCGTTGACGTTGAGCTCGCTCTCCCCGTGGCGGCACAGGTAGATGGAGCGCGGCGTGATGTGGATGTTCATGAGGTAGTAGACGATCCGGCTCTGGATGTGGTCCAACACCCGGTTCACCATGTACCGCTGACCCACGTCCATGATTTTAATGTAGGAGAGGTCCCTGAGGGGAGAACACAGACACTTTAGATACATTGCTAAGATCTTGTCAAATTGAGTGTTTTTCGATAAATAAAAGAGGTACAAATGATCAGATTCCAGCCTCTTGTGTGTGAATATTCTGTACGTTTTTTATTCTTCTGTGAGAGTATATTTAATACTTTGGAGTAGTGGTAAAACAAGACATTGGAGGATGTCATCTTGGGCTTTGGGGTACACTGATTCTTCACAATGGATCAAATGCAGCCCTAGCCCCATCATTCAGAAGGAAAGACCAGATTACACTTCAAAATGCTAACATGCTAAGCTAGTTATTCTATAGCTAGGAAGTCTACCCAACCCTCTCTCCACAGCAGCTTCCCCTCACCTGTCCAGGACTTCATCCAGCGTCTCGTAGGAGTTTTCATAACACTTGATCCTCTTCAGGAAATCCTCTACTGCTTCCTCCGTGTTACAGTTGGTGTAGTCCGGGCTACTTAGCTTCACTTGCTAAAAAAGGAGTGGAGTGAGTACAAGATGGACTGAAGCTCCTTATCCTTTATGATAAGATGAACAGATAAACTCAAACACGTACCACTATGTTCTCCTTTATGACATCTGGGTCTTCACACACAGACTCCACAAAGAACACCTGAGAGAAGATGATGAGGAGGAGAAGGAGGAGGAGGAGGAACTTAGTGTGGATGTGAAATAAAGCAGTATATGTTCTCCCAGAATATGACGCAACACTTTACCTTAAACCCGTTCTGCTCTGCAAACTGGATGATGGTTTCCCTTCTTTCTCTGGTGGTGTTTGTTGCATCAAAAACCTGTTTACAGACAGAACAACGGATAAGATAGTTAGCATTGCACTGTTTCAACAACACTTTGAACCCAAAACAGAATTAGACATTTGACTTACCGCCACTTGGCCTCCTTCTTCTGTGAGATACTGCCGCACATCGTTCAAAGCTGCTGAGGCACACTGTCTGTAAAGATTACAGATATCATCAGTAAATGATTCACATGGTTGGTGACTTCATCAAAAGTTCAGGCTGAGGCCACTCTTACTGTCTGATCTTTAACCCCTCCTCGTTGTCTGGACTGAAGAACTCAAAGGACTTGTAGATCTTCACAAAGTCTCTTCTGTACTGCCCCACATTGAACTCTATGGGAGAAATGGAGATCATCTTTGTCTTAGCTGGTGACACTCACGCTGAATTCGTTTATTATATTCTCTAGAATGAATTGGGTACCTCTGGTGGGAACTCCGATCCAGTTGAGATAGCGGGTCAGCTTCTTGGAGATGTACGTCTTCCCCCTGGCAGGAAGCCCCACCGTCACTATCAGCGTGGGGCAGTTGGTCATACATACTGGAAAGGAAATGGAGAAAGTGTAAGTCATGTTCGAATCACATAACAGATCCAATCTCAGTGTAAAACACCCTCCTTGCAAACATATCGATTGATCATTTTCACAGTTGCAAATGTGCCAGCATCGGTTGTAAAATCTTCCTGTACCCGGTCTGGCACATTATCGACGCGTGTAATAAAGAGTAATCTGCCATGAAGTCACATCACACCACCCTGAGTGTCTAGTCACAGGAGCAGAGGTCACTGTGGCACCAGGCTGAGCAGTTGTGTAACGCTGTCCACATTCAGACGCAGTGTGTGCAAAGATGACTGGGTCAGAGAGCGAGATTTTTTTTATGGGTACTTATTTATATGCATTTTCTGGTAAAATAATGTCCATGTTTGTTACACTTCCTGTCTGTAAAAGGCATGGACAATTACTTCGTAGGAGGGAATAACACTGTGGCAGGTTTAGTGCATGCATTACATACAATACCAAAAGCACCTTTCACAAATTCATCCATGAGTGTGTAATTGACTTTGACAACCAACTTTACTCTACCCAAAGAGACCATATTAAAGTCTAATTGATTCAAAAAAATCCTGTGTCAGTCAGTCCACAGTGATGAGCCACTAACTGTACAGAAAAGTGACCGAGGTGAGATAAAACAGCAGCTCCACGGGGGGCAAATCATCCCTCACATGACTGATGGGATACAATTCCTGTTTACCAACAGCTAGCCATGGCACACAGTAACAAAGAGGTGAACTCCCCCAGTGCCAGCCCTTTCTCCTCCATGCGAGCAGCCTTCATCATGTGAATCCTTACATAACTGTGTGAACCAGATGGCTGCGGAAACAGCAAGACATCTGAGGACTGAGGTCACGCGTTAAAGCCAATGTGAGCTAACATAACACTCAGATGTATGTAGTGGAGGAGAGAGCATTCAGATAATTATTATAGAACAAAACATGTACACTTCAAGCTTTTTGTGGCCCATCATGGAAGGGAGCACATATTCTTTGAGTAAAAGTACTTATACCATTCTGTAAAAATACTCAATTTTAAACCAAAAGTACTGCATCAAGAATAGTACTTCAGCAGCACATCTTCACAATAAACTGTGAAATATTTAACAAAAACAATCTTAATTACAATTAAAACATTGTTGTTAACCCACACACGGTTTTAGATACTTAAATATAACGTTGAATGGTTTGATATATATAAGATAAATCATATTTAAACGACTTTCCTAGGTAATGTATGTCAAAATCTGAATTCATAAAGTAACCAGTCAATACATCTGTAAAATAACCTTAGTAAATGTTCAAAAATGTAGTAGAGTACAAGTATAAAGTAGTATGACATGAAAATACTTGGGTAATAGTCAAATGTTTACTTGATTAACTACTTTTGCATCACTGGATCCATGCTACACGCCGGTAGACCTATTTGCATTAGCAACGTGCTTTTGGCTAGGTGCATTTAAATGGAAACAACACGGAAACTAATGACAGATATAGATGTAATTCAACCCCTCCGCTGTTGTCAATAACGTAGAAACTCAGATACCCACGCTAACAGCTGACGCCACGTCTTCATACGCACCCTTTCTTTGAGAAATGTGTTTTTCAGGAAGGCCATTTTTACACGGCATCCATATCTTCTTCAGGGGGTTTTGGGTGAGCTCCCGCGGTTTGGACAGTGTTTTGTCCTCCATGCCGTCTTGAGGCGAGGTGGAGGTGGAGGCTGCCGCGGCGGGAACACGGGGCCTTTTCCCCGAATGCTGCTCTGAGTGTGACCGGTGTTTCATCCGCGCTGCTCTGCGGGATGGAGATGACACGGCTCTCCTCACAGCTGTCACGTGATTGGGGCTCACCAACGGTCGGCCGTAATAACCGTAGCACGGGCGCAGCACACATTCCGGTTTACCGTAAATGACGACAGCTGTGCTGAGTGCGCAGCGACATAACACACTTTTAGCCAGTAGTGTAAAGTAACCAAGTACATTTACTCAAGTACTGTACTTAATTTCAACTTCTAGATACTTGTACTTTAATTTAGTATTATAATTTGTTGCTACTTTGTACGTTTACCTCACAACAATTCAGAGCTGAATCATACTTTGACTCCACTAAATGTATTTAATACCTTCAGTTCCTTTACAGATTTTGACTAATAATGTGAAATATCAACAACCCCTTTTACCAACTGTGATAAACACATTAATGCATCAATAATTATAATTAAACATATGATAATTGATTCTGGAATGGGTTAATTTGCATATTGAGTGCTTTTACTACTGGTGTTCCTACACTGTGGTTGTTTTATTTTGACTTAAGTACAATATCTGAGTGTAGTATATCATATATATACACACAACAGCGGGGTGGTTGAGAAATGTGCTCGATACTGACAAAGTGATGGTACTTTAATAGAGACACATTGGACATGTCCAAGTCGGCCTACGTTTGAGGCATCTCTGATGTTCTTTGTTACATTTTCATGATATAGCACCTCAAAATAAATGCTTAGAAAAAGGTATTTTGTCAAGTTGCAAGATAATTATTCTTCTATTTCTTTATTATTTCCTTTGTCTTTGTCATTGCTTCTTCAACATTCTTGTAAATGGATAAGATAGCAGTAGTGGTGTGAAATACTTTTCACATGATATTGAAGTTGAACCATCTAGATGTAGATTATTTTATGTTTTTTGCTAAATATGGCTCTGTGATGCTCTTAGATTTATTGTGACAATATACAAATATCTACATTACCGCTTATGGTACTGAACGTTTCCACAGATAAATCAGCAAGGGGATACATTTTGAGAACATTTTATTCCTATTGAGGGAATTTAAGGTAATCCCAACAAGCATGATCTAAGAGTGTCCATGAGGGGGCAGCATTACTCTCCCTCTCCCTCTGTGGGTGTGTTGACAGATTTGTAAACTACCAGTGTAATTAAAAAAAAACTGTAATGCAAACAACTCAACAGCCCTGCAAGTGCAACACATTTCTATAAATGTTCAGATTTGGTGGGAGAAACATGTCAGAGGATTTGTATAAAAGTGTTTCCAATATGTTGTCCATCTCAGGTAAGTGCTTTTCAAATTAAAACAGGAACTCAATGACTTATAAAATGACCATGGAGATACATCCTTATGTCAACAAAATGATTATTATAAGCTTTACAAAGAGATGACTTTTGCAGAGGTGTGTGGGTTAGATTGAATTACACTGTGCAAGTTTTTCTCATATAATGAGAAGCAAAGATAATCTGTTCATCTGTTTATGTTCCTTCTGGACTATCTGACACACTGATCAAGCTTTAGGCCTGTGACCTAGATATGGCAAGATGGACGTTTCTAATTAAATAGCTCTTACTCTCTTTCTCTCAAATCCCCTGACTGCTAGTAGACTGTAATATATATCAGGTTCATCAAGTCCATTTGAAATGGCACAGTAACTCAAGTTGCGGATAGATTTGTGGCTTTTCAGATACAAATCCAATGTTGTTTTAGGCAAACTGAACTAACTGTGAAACATACTTTGTGTTAAAGTTTGTCAGGCAACTGTGTTATTTGAAGTAGCTTATCTTATCTGCATAAAGCTTGGATAGTGTTTTAGAGAACAGCAGCAGGCAGTAACTGATATGCACACTGTTTGAAATAAATCACATAAAGGTTAAATGTGGTGTATTGCATTCTTTACATAGGGACATGAACAGGAAGCTGTGTGAGCTCCTCCTCTTTCTCCCAGCTGCTGCCTGGATCTCTGATTGCAGCTAACAGCCTTTAGCCAGCTCCATACTGAATATAAGTCATTTCCTAATAGGCTATAGTATGTTATACACTTGGCAGTAAACCAGCATCCACCACACTGAGGGATGTATTCAGCCCAGAAACCAACATTCAGAGCTCAGAAGATAGAAGGCAATCGCAGTGTGAACTGTAGCCTACAACAACCATAAATACAACAAACAACTAGAAAAATGCAACTCTGCAGCAGCATCTCCATCATGATCAGTAGAATACAAACAAATAGGCTAAAGACCTGAGAGATCGGTTAATGTTACGCGCATTAATGCATATTTGTATCTGTTTATTTAAATGTCGACAGCAGCCTAAACACATCCGCCTGACAGTTCACCATCCTCTGTGTCAAAGCACAAACAAATGAGGCTGGTTGCTACAATAAAAGCAAAGACAGCCGCCTGTTGTTGTTATGTAGGGTAAAGGTGACAGCGCAACACACCGACGGCACATTGGCTCTTGTTTACGTCTCGGAAGGACTTAATGTCCCTTTTTCTGGCTGTCATCCGGTTAAACATGCACGAGCTAAACTCCCACCATGCACGGGTATATTAAAGAGGTTCAAATGGACGTGTCTTACCCGCTCTGTCCGGTTTGTGTGTGAGTTTGGTGACTGATGAGCCTCTCATCCTGGGAGTCTGTCTGATGGAGCAGCGCTGCCTGTGAACGTGCGTCCCACTGCTGAGCAACACACTGATGCTGCTCTCACACACACGCACCCTATATTAGTGAGCGTGAGTGTGTGTGTGAGACATGGACTGGGAGGAAGCTTACTCCAAAACTGGATGGAGTGAGGTAGCAGACTGTACCTGCCCCTGCACGCGTGCACACACACGCACACGCACACACTGCTGAAAAAAAGTCACAAGTCATGACAAAGCTTATGTTGTATCATGACGACTCGTATGTATACATGGAATACATTGCAGGTAACATAAAAGGACATAGGCCTACTGTGTGTACAGCAGAGGTGGAAGAAGTACACAGATCCTTAACTTAAGTAGAAGTACAAATACTATGGTCTTAAAATCCTGAATACAAATGTTTGCTTCAGATAAATACAAAAGTGTTAGCATCAAAATGTACTTCAAGTAGTACCAAGCATGCAAATGGCTCTTTCATAGAATTGTATTATTATAGAATATTATAATAGATTATCCAACGTTTGTTAAATTAGAGCCAATTTTAGAGACTTTGTACAAATACTGGGTTTATTAAAACAGTGCATCATATCATTATATATATATATAATGATATATATCATGTGTTTTTATATATAACTGTAAAGATCAGTGTTACATAATGGTATAGTGGAGTAAAAAGTACAATATGTGACTCTGAAGTAAAGTGAAGTACAAGTATAAAATAGCACAGTACTTGAGTCAATGTACTTAGTTACTTTCCACCACTTAGCACACCCTTTAATTAATTGAATACATAGAATAGCACACACTGTTAAGGTTACCTCCTATGCACTGTTGTACTGTTCCATTGCGAAGCTCCAGGAACCAAACAGGAATAGTTTGGAAGTTTTCCAGGAGCAACTTGCAGAACTTGTTTTGCTGCTGTTTACTATCCTTCCTTTGACATGTTTCCATGTGTAGATGGGTTACACATAGCATCACTATTAAACAGGCTTTACGACTTAAATAAGCAGAAGTAAGCGAATCTCTACGCATTGATTCGATATAATTAGATTGTGGATCTCTTCATTATTTCATGCCTAAACTATTACTGGTGCAGTTCGTCAGAAGTAGTTTTTACATCGTTGAACAGGCATCCATTGGGGTGTGACAGGCAATTACAGACATTCAGTACATATCTGTGATTACTGGGGAAGGGACAAAACGCTTCTTCTTTTTTTAATACAACATTCATTTGAGATTTATATATTCATAGACAAATGTATAAGGCAACAAACCATGTAAGGAAAGAGGGTAATTGTGTTAATTAAGCAGAAAAGCATGCTGTTTTAATTAAATAAATTCAACACGGCTATAAAGTCCTCAAGTGTGTACTACTGTTGATTATTAACTGAGTGAGGAAATAAAATACATTACACATAATTCAGTTTGGATTTTACACGATTACGAAACATTTATTTCAAAATACTTTAATTTTACACGTTCATTTTGAATATTAAGGGTAAATAATCAGTGTTTTGATTAAAAAAATACATTACTATTGAACATACTACACCATGAATTTTTCCAAATGATTTGTACATACTATATTATGTTTTCCAATATATTATAACACAAGATGTTTTATATTTGACATACTGTACTATTTTTTTTTGTGGCAAACTATGACATTTTTCAAAACATCTCTCACATAATATACTATCGATTCTTTCGTGTTATTTACTTTCTCGAGATATTTTTCCATATTCTTCCCCACATTGAGTTTCTTCATGATAAGAGATGACTAAAGTAAAAGTAATGTTAAAAAATATGTTTTCCTTTTCAAAAACATTCAGCCAAAGTTGCCAAACAAATAATAAAACAAAAACGTAAGGTGGATGTGAGTTGGGTTGAATACTTTTTTTAATAATACATTACATGTCACTTGTTTGATGCTTTTATCCAAAGCGAGCAATTTGGGGTGACAACAACATGTAGACTGCAGTGGGACTCGAACTTGCTATCTCCTGATTCAAAGTTCAGCTCACAAAGTTCAGCGCACTATTCCACTGAGCTACAGCCTCCATATAAAGTTAAACATCTATATTTATCGATAATGTGTTATTGTTATTATCCAGCCTTCTTGCCCGGGTGGAACAAAGATGGTGGCCAGGGAAAGCACAGTCTTGGCTTGATGCTATTTCAGTGGTTCTAATGATACCATTATCAGCAGCACGTTGAAGTGATGGCACTCCTTTTGGACCCCAGGCCTGTAGCTGCATATCTGTGCAGGAATAAGACAAACATTCACAAAAGATAGAGAGGAGGAAGACATTAGGAGGTTATTGAGGTCAGAAAACAAAAATAAAATGAACCATGGAGCTCGGACAGGTGACAACGTGGCCTGAGAATGGATTTTATGACTAAAGGTCAGATGGCTCTCCACTGACAGACACATTCCTCCTTAAAGAGCAGAGAGATCAACTGCGGTTGACAAATCACAACAGAGCAGACTGGGCTCTGGTTTCAGACAGAGGGTGAAAAGAGGAGCTGCAGCACAGGCAGTATGAGAGAAATAAAGAGCTTTTTGAACATTAAAGCATGCAGACATGTCACAGTAGAGGCACAGAATACAAATGTGAACTCTGAACATGTGCATAATAGGGTCCCTTTAAAACATCACCATTTATCTCTTCTGAATAATGTGGAAAAATCTAACCCAATACTGAACTTTACTTCTGACCTTTGACCTAATAATAAGTATCTCTGGAGTCTGTAAATCCCTGGAGGAGGAGGAGGAGGAGGAGGATCAGTGATTGTTGTGAGGAAAAACACAAGTAGGAAGCGGACACTGACACTGTTTTGTCCACATCAAACAAGTTTTACAGATGCTGTCATCATGACTGCTTGTCGTGACAAGAGGCCTGCCTATCCAAATGAAGAAGTCATTTGCAACACCTTGTAAAATTCCACCCTCAAAATACACCCTGTATAATTATAATTGTCTTATTCAACAACTGTTATACTTCAAGTGCATGGAGCACAACACAGCTGAGAGGACTGGCTTTAGTTGGACGTCATGCAATCATGGCTCCCATATTTACAGCCAGGAAAGCCTGGTTGTGTTTATGATAAGCTTGCCCTCACCCATCACCTAAATACTGCAGGGGTAAGCGTGTGATCAAAGTGGGGTAAAGGTACTCGCCATATCATCTAAACATAATAATGTTGACCTTTTCCAGTCAGATGGCCGCGTCCCAAACAACTACTTCACTGCTGCTATTATTAGCGGCCTCACAAAGCCTGAAAGGACGATTACAAAAACAAAGCTCCAAGGTCCTGAGAAAAATAACACATCGTACAAACAAAGCTTTACTTTATAAAGTTTTATTTACAACAGTGTGGACAAATCATATTTCTAAAGGGGGGGTTCAAAGTGAAGTGAAACTGTGATACATGGATGCATTTACTCATCCCACATAAGACCTTTCTCAAGAGAAAATGACACAACTCCTACATGTTACAATCCATTACCCCACTGCTGCTTGCATTAGGCTCTGTGGCCGCATGCGGACAGGAAGCAGACAGGTTGTTTACTTATTGCTCCATTAGTGGGGACACAATGGTGATCCACAGCAGTGAAGCTGAGTCGGACCAGGGTTAAGCAAGTTTAGTTTTTACTATCGTGGCTCCAAATTGGTTGAAAGACTCCTGAAAACTGACATAGCTCAACTGCACCTTGACAAATACAATCTTTATAAAGTATTTCAAATGGTTTAGCCGATTTGAAGGTAATGTACTCGCAGGATTCTTGCTGTTCTGAATTTGTATCCTTATGATTAATTGCACTTTTTGTAAGTTGCTTTGGATAAAAGCGTCATAATAAATGTCATGTAATGTGATGAGTAAAATGAACAGCGGGCATCCAAAAATACTCTCTTAAGTGGAAATGAATGGAGATGTTGCTTTTTTTCGTCAGCAGAAGAGAAACTGGCCACAGTGCACGTAAAGTGAGTTCTGGTTTCAGTCTGTCCACACTCGCTTTGTCTGTCTGTGTTTGGTTTATACACTAGTGCATGATTACAAAGGAGACCTCAAATAGGCAACAAAGCATTCAAAGACACAAAACACGGTTACAACAAATACTCATGTCTGCACACAGACTTACAAACAGTCTAAAAACCACGTACATAAAAATGAAACAGAAAGAACCACAGTGAGCAGAGCTGTTGATTTCTTCCACTGACAGTAGAAACACGTCTTATCACAACCTGATATGTCTTATTAATGTCCAGCTCTGACTTGTTCCTATGTTTCCCCTTACTTTAGAGAACCTTTTCTCATCATCCAGTTTCTCAAGAGTCCCTGACTTCAAATGATTTTCTCCTGCAAAAATCCACCTCTCCTCTTCCTCTGAGCTGCTTCTCGTCTTCACTTCCTGTCCCGCCCGGACAGTCCTCAGAGTCTCACTGACTCTGGCATACCGTGGACCCGCCTTTGGCTCCAGCGGCGGCCTTCTTGCGCCTCTTGTTGAGCAGCGGGTTGCTGGAGGTGTCCAGGTCTTTGATCTTCACCTGGTCGTAGTCCACGCGCATGGTGGCTAAAGCGCTGGTCATCTCTTCCTGTGAGGGGCAGAGCAGAGGGGTAAGAGTTCAGTGATAACTACAACAGCTCAGTTAATACAGTTACATATTTCAATGGCCCTTCCTTCCTGCAGCAGGCACACTGTACAAACACCATGGCCCCTGGTAGACCCCTACACCAACATTGACTGTAATATCATTGATATGCAATACCTAATGTGCAATATATACACATATGTGCAATTTACGCTTATTTAAACAAAAAAAATGTATATACAATGTGTCAATGTTTCCGGCTCTTTCAACACTTTTTACATGTTCTCTTGCTTTTAAAAATATGCTACTTTCATTTTGACCATGGTGTACTGATTTGTTTATACTCTTAATCATTGTATATAACTTATTTTTAATATGTAAGTATTTGATCTGCTGCTGTAGTGCAGTACATTTCCCTGCTGTGGGACAAGTTATTCTGATATTGACAACAATACATGTCTGACACACTTCTCGGTTATGACCCACCCAGAGCTCTGAAATCATCGAGACAGATTTAGTCATCGTTCCCTGGATCAGATCCAAACACGTAGAAGCAGCTCTTAGCTCTCTGCTCCGTAGATCTCTAATAAACTTCCAGAATATCTGAGGTGTGCCCCAACCCTGAGTTCCTTTTAAATTGAGCCTAAAAACGTTCTATTAACCGATGCTTTTAACAACATTTGATATTATACTTCGGCACCGCTTTTATTTTTTAACTGTCTCAATTGTTTTTTAAGAATTGCCTTCTTTACAGTTGTTTTGTTTTTGTTTCTCTTGTGCTTTCATGCTTATGTAAAGTACTTTGATTTCGCAATAAATGTGTTATATTAATAAACAGAATGAATGATATATATCCTTTATTTAGCCAGGTAAAAAGTCTCATTGAAATTAAAATCTCTTTTTAATTAAATTCTCAATTAAGGGGAAACTATACACAACATAATGTTATATTGTAGGTACCCGTCTGAGTCCTATTCTTAACCATTTTTTAGTGATTGACATTGTGTTTGGTTTCACGTTTCAAGGCTTTTATTGTCATGTGTATGTAACAGAGTTAAAAATGTGTATAAATAATTATTAGTTAATAAATTACGATTTACAATAGGTTGTGAATTTTATCTTTATGAGATTGTTTCCTTTTAATATTTTTGAGTAACGTTTCTAGTGGGAACACTTTCCTGTTGCACATCGTTTTCTACTTCCTTTATGTCATTACCGCTTTGACACTGAAGTGAGCACTGCTGAGGATGTGCAACGCGGATAAAGGACATTGTGTGTTTGTTCTCAGAACAAATGCCAGAAAACACACTCAGATGCTTCGCTGTCGTTTCCTGATCGATAACGAGCCATGCTCGTATCTAACCTATAGAAATGCAAAACGGCATCATTTATGAGAAAAAATGTCATAACATTAACACAACATATTCGAGGTGGTTTTAAATAACATATCCTTATTTATTTATTTCTCCAAGTTATGTTTTTGTGTGCACTGAGGAGTCTCAAACAGGCTTTTGTTAAATCATTTTAAGATTGGCTTTAATCAATGTTTGAAAATTAATCCTTCATATATGATAAACGAGAGGTCACATTTTATTTATGGTATTATTTCCGGTGTCGCAGTTTCTCGTCTCTCCCGTTTTTGTGCTTAGTGCGTACACATGGGTTAGAGTTTGCGTGGAGGACCGCACATTTTCCCGTCAAGTTAGTATTTTATAAATCGCAAACATTGCGTAGAAACTGGCGTACGCCATTTTTTGAGCGTATATCCCTTTATAAATGAGGCCCCTGGTCTGCAAACCGGGGCTGGGTAACAATCCCGGAAATGTAAACCCTCAAACTCTTCATCCTTCATTGCTCAGGATTTGCAGCCTCTTGATCTCTACTCGCTAACGGTTTCTGCTTTTGGAGAAGTGGTTGTTTAGAGTGCAATCATTTTTTACGCAATGTAGCATTGCATGTTGTAGAAGTGAACAAGGGCGTATTGTGTGCGTATGATTTGGGCAAATGTCCTTTCATGCCTTATCTCCTCAAACTTGCTCAGTCAGAGTGACTTAAAGAGAGCAGGCAGTGCTTTTGTTCCTTTAACACATTTCTTTGTGCAAGTCATAAAAACAGAGTTCGGATAAAAATGCCAAAGGGCAGCTGAGATCCTTTGTGTTTAAGTGTGTGTGTCAAATGTAAACTTGTGTGTGTTTGTGTGTGTTATTAGTACAGACTATACTGTGAGTTCTGCTTCTCCCTGGTGGCCATCGAGGGATTATCAAGATGTTGATACAATAAAAAACCTTTAAAGGTTGAAACATTTCTATTAGTTTAAAGGTCACCTATCATGCTATTTTTAGGCTATAGCATAGGTCTCAGATATATAAAAAAATATAAAAAACATGTCTATAAAGTGTTTTGCTCAAAATACCAAACAGATCACCCATTCTAGCCATGCCTCATATCCATCTATTTCACTTCCTGTTTCAAAAGTGCTGATTTGGGGTATAAAGCTTTAAAAAAAAAAGGAAAAAAAATGTAAAAAGGAGGGGGCTGAGCTCATGCGGGAGATTCTACCGGCAGATACTGCCGTGATGAAACGCCATATCATGGATTATCAAGGATTATTTCTGAAACAGTATGGAGCTCAAAGGCTTTCTCTCTTGCCGGTTATACCACAAGGTGAGTTCCTTTTTATTTCCTGCTTCTTCACACACATGCTCTCCAGTACAGGTTAGCTCTGAGAGTTAGCAATGCTAATGTAAACACCGACCATATTACGTCCAAAACATTCGGGCATTGTTTTTGATAGCAACGTTTCTGATAGGGCCGTGGGTGTAAAGCCAGCCTACATTTCAGATATTACGACATATCGGACGCAAATCTGGATCAGCTCCGTTGCAGCCCCGTTTTTAGAGATTTGGGTACGGAGGAAAAGAGAGAGGGTTTTATTTTCTGACGCTGCGTGAGTTCTCCGACACACCGGGGACACATAGTTATGTATAAAAGACATCAAAAAGTGCATTTTGCATGATAGGTCCCCTTTAAGTTGAAGGGTGTAAACAAGTTTAAATAATTCCCCCTTGCTGTGTAGCAGCTAGTCATCATTAAAGGGGCACTCTGCTGGCTTTACACATGAAATTGTGTGATAACTAAATTCTAAATAAGTTGAAAATTCTAATAAAATAATAATAACTGAAAAATAAATGATAATCTTAAAATATATAAACAAGGAGGACATTAGAAACGTTGACTTTAGGGAGGTGGGAGTTTTGTAAAGGCTGAGAAAATTGACCCTCATGATGTCATAGTGATGTCATCAGGTGTTTACACTTGGAGACTCAACATTTTAACAGAAAGCAATACAAACTGAGCGAGATGCATATGGATGGGTATTTACTATACACTGTATATGGTATTTACCAAGCTCACATGAAAAGATGCTTTTGAGTTGTATTATGGGAAACGTAGTATCCAGAACTTTCAGAGGTGTGTCCCTCACTGGAGTCTAAAGTCAGGATATCTCGGCCTCTGCGCTCTTCATTTTGAACATTTGTAATACAAACACTTACATTTGACATTATGAGTAATATATATGTGGCAGATAAAGCAGATAAAGCTTTGACAGCCCTGCAGTAACAGGTTGTAATGTGAACATGTGACCAGAGGGGGGCAGTGTTGTTCTGACCTTCACATCCTCCCACAGCTCTCTGTCTTCAGTCAGCACCCGGGTGGTGTGGAGGGGGGTGGAGGGCACCACCATGGACTTCTGCAAACACACACACACACACACACACACACACACACACACACACACACACACACACACACACACACACACACACACACACAAGGATATGAGCAACAGATGCACAGACAAACAGGAAGCAGTACAGGAAGTATACAATGTCTATCGGTACTTGCGAAACATATACTTACATTAATCCAGGGGTGGTTCATGAACTGAGTGATGGTCATTCGCTCGTTGGGGTCTGTCTTCAGAAGCTTCTGTATCAAATCTTTGGCTGGAAGAAAAGCAAAGGCAATGTAAAGATAATAACATATAAGAAGAAAAACACCTATGCAAGTCTGGTGTTTCGTGCTTCCCTGGGGGACAGACACTGTCCTCCATTTTACGACAAAGAGAGAGAGACAAGCTCCCTCTGGAGGCAGCTTTGGGATTTGAGACTTTGCACACCATTTACATGCACACAAACCATAGCAACGCACTAGAGGAAAGGGAAAACCCCAAAAGTATAATATGGCCCCTTTAAGTTATTCTTAAGAAGAAACACAGTCAGTGAGTGTGGGAGAGGAACTACACCCGCAGGTCATCAAACATAGACCATAGTTTACATAAATCATAGTTAAAAAAAATTCTGTTTAAAGAGACTGCACTTAGGTAACGATGCATGGCGTTTAAAGAGATGATGTAAGATGTACACTGAGGCTAACAGCAGAGCAGTGTTTCATCCACATGATGTTTCCTCCAGCTGTAACTGATCCAAACAGAGGTTTTCTACATTACAGGGTCATCCACACATTCAGTAGATCTGTATCACCGGCTTCACAATGAGTCCAAGGTCCACACTGAGAGTCAGCTGTTCTCACGTCAGACAGTGATTTAATACCGCCGGCTTACACAGGGAAAGGGCCAGTTGTTAAAAGTTAGGAAAAGTTACCTATTGAAATATTTTGAGTTGAATTAAGATGATGCATCGGTTGTCACTGACATCTTTGTTGTTTGTGAGATGATAGCATAACACGTTGAACTAATAGCTATGGAATATTACACGTTTCATAAACATGTAGTTAAATATGTTATTATTCTATACATAGCAGGTTGTTTTTTTTAAGGATTTTTTATGAAAATCTGCATTTTAAGGGTTATAAATAGGAAAACTACTTCAGCCACAAAAGTGTCAGTGTTGAGGGACTGGTTTTAGTGTTTTTTAACGGGGAGTATCTCACCTTCCTGGGACACCTCGGCCCACTCTGGGTTGGGGAACTCGTACTGCCCCATCCTGATCCTCTTCTTCATCCCTGGAGAGATGGCCTGGCCTGTGTTGGAGTAAAATGGAGGGAAGCCACACAACCTACAGAGACAAAAGAGACCTTTCAAAAACATTCACATGCACTTATTTCAGTATCAACTTAACATATTGCATCATATCATTTTTTTTTTACCACCCTATCTTCCACCCAACCCACAGCCAGTACTCACAGGATGTACATGATGACGCCCAGAGACCACATGTCACATGACTTGTCATATTTCTCCGGACCCAAAACCTCAGGAGCTTATCATGAATGACAACACACAGAATAGGAAGCAAGTTAGAAATGATAAAAGCTGCTAAAACACTATATTCAACCCGTTTATACCCCAAATGATACTGTCTCAAGCCTTTCTTTAGAAAATAGGCGCATAAAGCTACTTACCCACATAGTAGGGCGTGTAGCACGGGGTCTGTAGGGGGTTGTGTAGCGTCGTCTCCTTAGCAAATCCAAAGTCTGTTAACTTGAGGATCCCCTTTTTATTTTTATTGGTGTACAGCAGGTTCTCCGGCTTGATAGGAGGAAGGAAAACAACAACATATGACACAATGGCCTTTAAACACCCTACACGGATCTTCAAGCTTTGATGTTTCCGCACCTTGATGTCTCTGTGTGCGATCTCAATGCTGTGAAGATATTCAATGGCCGTGCCGATGTCCCTCATAATCTCAGAAGCCTCTGGGAGAAAAAAAGACAACACACACACACTCTCAAACCAGAAGCATCAACAGTCTCATACAATGGATAAAACAGATCATTTAGGGAACAAACATTTCTCAAGACAGTTTCCTATTCTGTACTTCCCTGTGTCATGTTTTCCAAGACTTATATCGCTCTTTCTGGAAAATCATGATGGTTTTTCCTCTCTCACTTCCTGTGACACACAGTTAATCAGTCCTCACCTTTCTCAGTGAAGGCCTGGTCTCCTCTGGCCTGGATTCTGTTGAACAGCTCTCCTCCCTCCATACTGGACACACACACACACAAAACATTTACAAAATGTACATATGACAATCTATAACATAAGGTTTCCTGAAATTACAATATATTATTTAACCACTTCGTACATACATATAAGAAATCCATGTATGTTGAGTGTATCCCACATTTGAATCAGAAAGGAATCAGTGCTGGAGTTAAGGAATTAAATTNCACACAGACACACACACTCTATCTCACACACATACACATCACACACACACACACACACACACACACACACACACACACACACACACACACACACACACACACACACACACACACACACACACACACACACACACACACAAAACATTTACAAAATGTACATATGACAATCTATAACATAATGTTTCCTGAAATTACATATAGAATACTTTTACATTTTCATTTTACATTTATTGAGAATTAAAAAAAACGTTGTGAACATGGAACAGATCAGCGTTACCAATATATTATTTAACCACTTCGTACATACATATAAGAAATCCATATATGTTGAGTGTATCCCACATTTGAATCAGAAAGGAATCAGTGATGGAGTTAAGGAATTAAATTGGCCTTATTATGCTCCTTTCCAGGATTGTATTTTGTGTCTCTTGTCTGTTGAAAAGTACACTGAAGGAGGTTGTACAAAGAAATCAGCTGACATAGCCAAAGCATTGACCTGCTATTTCCATGAGAAAATGGAAAGTGCAGTAAGAACAATAAATCATTACTATAATAAGTTAGATAAAAACATGTGTGTACAGGTTTACACTGAGTTGGATTTCAGTGGAAGTCTGACACTTTCACCTAAAGCTCTCAGTTCCTTTCAAAGACAAACGACAAGTGACATAGAGTTTCTAAAGAATATTGAGAGCAGAAGAAACCCGGATCAAAAGGAGGAAGAAGGGAAAAGTCACCAAAGTCTTCTTTCTGAAAAGAACCTACAGGGTTTACAGTATGTGAAATGAAACAGCGCTGGCATTGTTTAACAGTGACAGTACTAATATTTGTCTCTTTCTGGTTTATCAAGAAGATAATTAATTTGACAAAATACTATATACTCTAGCTGATGATTGATAAGACCTATAATCTAATTATTTATAAGTTCGGACAAATATATATACAGTATATACATATATAAATATATATATACATATATATATATCCGTTTTAGAAGACTTGTTGATGAAAACATAATTCAAAGGAAACTCAGATCAAACGACCATCAATGAAAACTCTCCCTCCTCCTCCTCCTCCTCCTCCTCCTCCTCAGAAAAAGTGTTTGTTTCCATCATGGTTGCGTGAGAGTCATGGTTGCGTGAGAGTGAGTGAGTGTGAAGTAAAAGCGTACTTTTTGTGGTTCAGATGAACAGATAACTGAGAAAGAAATGTGTGTGTGTGTGTGTGTGTGTGTGTGTGTGTGTGTGTGTGTGTGTGTGTGTGTGTGTTTGTGTGTGTGTGTGTGTGTT